GATTATCTTCAAGAACTCAGGGAGGACAGGTGAGGTCCCAGAGGACTGGAGAAGGGCAAACATAGTACCTATCTTTAAAAGGGGGACTCGGGAAATTATAAACCAATCAGCCTAACTTCAACATCTGGAACAAATTATTAAACAATCAATATGTAAGCACCTAAGGGATAATATGTTAATAAGTAATAGCCAGCACAAATTTGTCAAGAACAAATCATGTCAGACCAACCTAACTCCCTTCTTTGACAGAGTTACTGGCCTACTGGATAGGGGAGGAAGTAGTAGATGTGATATATCTTTATTTTAGTAAGGTTTTTGACACAGTCCTACATTAAATTCTCATAAGCAAATTTAAGGAAATGTGGTTTAGAGCAGTGACTCTCAACCTTTCCAGACTACTGTACCCTTTCAGGAATCTGATTTGTCCTGTGTACTCCCAAGTTTCACCTCACTTAAAAACTACTTGCTTACAAAATCAGGCATAAAAATACAAAAGTATCACAGCACACTGTTACTGAACAATTGCTTTCTCACCTTTATCATATAATTATAAAATAAATCAATTTGACTATAAATATTGTACTTACATTTCAGTACAGTATAAACAAGTCATTGTATGAGATTTTAGTTTGTACTGACTTCACTAGTGCTTTTTCTGTAGCCTGCTGTAAAACTAGGCAAATATCTAAATGAGTTGATGTACCCCCTGGAAGACCTCTGCAAACCCCCAATGGAGAACCACTGATTTAGAGGATACTACTATAAGATGGGTGCATAACTCGTTGAAAGACCTTACTCAAAGAATAGTTATCAATGGTTTGTTTTCAGACTTGGAGGATGTATCTAGGGGAGTCCTCCGGGGTCTTTCCTGGGTCCAGTACTGTTCAACATTTTCATTAACGACTTGGATAATGGAATGGAGAGTAAGCTTGTTAAAATTTGCAGATGACACCAAGCTGGGAAAGGTTGCAAGCACTATGGAGCTCAGGATTAGAATTCAAAATGACCCTGAAAAATTGGAGAAATGGTCTGAAATCTACATGGTGAAATTCAATAAAGACAAGTGAAGTACTACACTTAGGAAAGAAAAATCAAATGCAGAAACAGAAAATGGAGAATAAATAGGTAGTCAGTAGTACTGCAGAAATGGATCTGGGGGTTATAGTGAATCACAAACTGAACACGAGCCAGTAATGTGATGCGCTTGCTGATATCATTGGGGGGTATTTTAACAGGAAGGTCACAACTTTCCCGCTCTACTTGGAAGAAACGTTTAGTGAGACTCAACACTACAATTGCTTCCAAGTTCCACTTACTGCTAATACGTCCAACCTTCTTTCTGTTCATCAGGTGGCACAAGACCAAGATTGCTGCCAGACTGGTTAGTTCAGCATTGCTTAATGTGACCCTGCATCCTAGAAAGAATGTATTTACGATACCCTGATACCCCCTGTTCACAGAACAGCCTTCCATGATACAGATGTTATCATCCAAAATGCAGAATGTAACACTTAATACTAATTTCAGTTATTCAGTATTTATGACAAAAGCAAAGTCTATGGAGATCAGTCTCTCTTTTATAACTACCTTTTTCAGGTTCTAGTTGCAGTATTGAAGGTTATGCTTTATAAAACAATGACTGTAATTATGCTTGCATTACATTCCAATTATTCTTTTTGATATATGTAGTTACCATTAATATAAAAGGTTAATTATATGATTGAATAATTTTTATCCCTTTACTGACATTTTGGTTTTTTCCCTACATGTGCTAGCATGCAATCTTATAAGCAAGAGGTTAACTGCTTGCTGGAGGATTCTCTGCTCCTTGAAGCCTTTAAACTACGATTTGAGGACTTCAATAGCACAGATATAGGTGTGAGGTTTTTTTTGTAGGAGTGGTGGGTGAAATTCTGTGGCCTGCGTTGTGCAGGAGGTCAGACTAGATGATCATAATGGTCCCTTCTGACCTAAATATCTATGAATCTATGAACTGCAATGATTATGTGAAAAATTATAGTCCTGTTCCAATGTAACTACACGGTAATTACAGCTGCTGTAATATAAATTATAACCCATTAAGGTCTCTTTCTCTTTCTGTTTGGTGCTCTGCAAGCAGCTATCCATAGTGATATGGGAACATTGTTATCATGGAGTAGTTGGTAAAGGCATTAGGCTATTAACTTTACATTTTTATTCATTGGAATGGGGATTTCTTTGTTTTCATTCCATTCAGATACATGTGTACATTGGCTGAGGTTCTGTAGTGCGACTCTGCCAACCACATTTGAAATAAATACTTGTTTTTCAAATTCACGTCAGAAGCTAAATCTTTTTTCTTGCCATTTTGGTGTGACACATCAAAGCCAAACTGTCAGCACCCCCTGCTGTAACCTAATCAGTTAAACAAACACTTTTCCAGGAGCTGGGTAACATTCCTGCTTGCAGCACAGTGAAGACCATACAAAATGATTTAAAAAAATTAAAAGGCAGGGATATTTGCTTCTACTCCACTGCAGAAACAGGACACGTAAGAGAGAAACCAACGGAACAGGAAATGTGAAGTTTCCTTTTTATGTAGCTATTATTGAAAATGGGAGAGTTACAATAAATAAAATTCAGATGCAGGGTGTGGGGGGTAGCGCCTTCCAAAAGGTCCCACAATGAATCACAGGGAAAGCTCAGCACAGAACCAACCTCTTCCTAATGTGCAGGCCAGTGTCTTATTCATTAAAATCTGTTGTTTCCTAATAAAAGGAAGGGGCCTCGTGACTTTCCTATAGTCTCATCAAATGAGCCAGAAGGTCTGTTTGAATGAAAATGCCAGCCAACATGCTTCCTAACAATATCAAAATAGCTTCAACTCGGTGAATCCAGAAAAGAAAGAACCAAGTGTCTGAATTTCTAATTGAGAAGAGAGCACAAGAACTACTGTGGGTGTGCTCTTCATTCATTATACACAACTACGTCACCTGCAGACACCCCTCGCCCCCTCTCCATGGCATTGCTCCTGGGACTGAAATAAAGCTCTGACCATGTAATGATATTATTTCCTGTCTTGACTCCAGGCGGCTTTGTCTCCAGAGTGTGACATCATTCAAGATGGCAGCCATTGGGTCAGAGATAACTCATGGGGCCAAAATAACTCCGGTGTACTGAGAGCAAACTGAACAACCTGCCCAAGTTCTGAGTTGACCAGGTTTCATCCTGAATCTCAGTTTTGGAAACAGTTTGGAATAGTCTGCAATTCCAACAATTCCATAGATAACTGACACACAAACAGGCACCAAGGCCTACCATGGACCACTAAAATAGCCGTTAGTGTCCATGGACACATTCTTGCACAGATACACACACTACACAAATGCTGTCCACACACACCCCAACCCACAGACACACCCCTACAGACACACTGTCCACACACCCCACAATCCACAGACACGCCCCTATAAACACATGGCGCACATCCTCCTCAGTGCAGAGACACACACCTGCAAACATACGGCGCACATCCCCCTCAGCCCAGAGACATGACCCTACAGACACTGCGCACATCCCCCAACGCACAGACACGCCCCTACAGACACTGCACACATCCCCCCACTGTGCAGACACACCCTAACAGACACTGCGCATATCCCCCCACTGTGCAGACATGCCCCAACACTGTGCACATCCCCCCACTGTGCAGACACGCCCCTACAGACACTGCACACATCCCCCCACTGTGCAGACACACCCTAACAGACACTGCGCATATCCCCCCACTGTGCAGACACGCTCCTACAGACACTGCACACATCCCCCCACTGCGCAGACACGCCCCTACAGACACTGCGCACATCCCTCCCATTGCACACACACGCCTTACAGACACTGCGCACATCCGCCCCACTGCACAGATACGCCCCTACAGACACTGCGCACATCCCCCCACTGCGCAGACACGCTCCTACAGACACTGCACACATCCCCCCACTGCGCAGACACACCTTACAGACACTGCACACATCCCCCCACTGCGCAGACACGCCCCTACAGACACTGCGCACATCCCCCCACTGAGCAGACACGCCTCTACAGACACTGCACACATCCCTCCCATTGCACACACACGCCTTACAGACACTGTACACATCCCCCCACTGCGCAGACACGCTCCTACAGACACTGCACACATCCCCCCACTGCGCAGACACACCTTACAGACACTGCACACATCCCTCCCATTGCACACACACGCCTTACAGACACTGTACACATCCCCCCAGTGCGTAGACACGCTCCTACAGACACTGCACACATCCGCCCCAACGTGCGCACACCCACCTAATTTACAGACATGCCCCTAGATACTGCGCACACACACTGCCAACCCACAGACATGCCCCTACAGACACTGCGTACATCCTTCCCATTGCACACACACGCCCCTACATACACTGCGCAGACATGCCTCCCCAACACACAGACACACTGCTCACATTTTGCCACTGCACAGACACACTGCATACATCCCCCTCAATGCAGAGGCTCGCCCCTAGAGACACACGGCACACATCCCCCCAATGCACAGACATGCCCCTACAGACCCAGCTCCCCCCACTCAGACACACCCCTACAGACATGCCTATCCCTATGTACATATTTACCGAATCATCCCTCCAGAGACTCCCCCACCATCCTCCACACCTCTCAAGCAGACAGGCAGGTACACTCCCTTCAGACAGACACACACACATTTTATATCCAATTGCCTCATCTTTGTATTTGTATTTTTTATTTTATTTTTTTAGAGCAATAAAACTGCCTACAGTCACCTCCCCAAAGCTCTGGGTAGGCATTCAATAGATACACAATACAGCGGACATGACAGTATCATCTATTGAATGCCAAAGAAATGTGACCTTAGAGTCACATCTGAATGGTGCAGATTAATTTCCCCTCCCCAAACCCCTCCTCACTGCACCATAAAGCCATCAGCATATCATGCTAATTACCTTCTTCCAGTTCATCCATGCTCCCAATCTTTCTGGTCCCATCGATGGTGTAGATGTAGCGAACTCCCTGAGGCAGGTTAATGTTATCAGACAGAGAACGGGTCAGGTCAGCCAGCAAAGCATCAAAGCTTCGGAAGCGGTCGGAGGACACGGCATACACAATCCCCTTGAAGTAGCGGTCCCCATTGCGATAGAAACGCACCTTCTTTGCTTTCTTCTCATTACTCAGTGCCTGTAAGGTCCTGGTTCGGTAGAAGCTACAGTGAGCACTGTGAGTGGGGCTGGGCAATCCATTCATACGTGAGCCTCGCATGTTTCTGGACGTCTTATCTCTTTCGTCAAAGTGTCCAAAATCAAGTTCCATAGTTTGGTGAACCCTAAAGATCTGAAGCTGAGTGGAGGGGAATGGGGAGGAAGGAATGCATATGAGATATTAGACTGATCGAGCCCCAAATCCAGACAGAAATTACATACCCACAAGACCTTGGCTTTTCTTTGAATGAACAGAAGCAGTTTATATTCAAAGTGACCCATGTCCTACCCTGATCTAGCTTCATATCAATTCTGGGGCTGGAGGAGGTAGGGGCATTTTTGGAAATGATCCACCCATTGCAGGGAGGGAAATGTGTTTTTAAATAGCAGCCTGGTTTTAGCACATTTAAGTTCTATGCAGTTTTGAAGTGTAGTGAATTGAGACTTTGGGCTGATGCATGAAAATTACAAACAAAAAAACAAAATTCCCACCCAAACAACAAAGGCTGGCAATTAATTAAACCTCCTGAGCCTTGGGAGACTTTCCCTGGCAGCAGAGAACAAGCAGATCCCAATGAGGTAGGTTTCAATCTGTAGATTTGCAGAAGGAGCAAGAGTATCTGAATGTTTAAAATGAGAATAAACTGGTATTTACGAAAGAACGGTTACATGGGAGTAGCCAGTTTCTTTGTGACAGTCTGTTCAATAAAGGCTAGCAACCAGATACTAAACTCCCCCCACCCAGCTGCCCCCTCCCAGCCCATCAATCACTTTCTGACACCATCCTACATTTCCAAGAAGAAATGACTGAAAATTTTTTCATTGAAATGAGAGTTCGATAAACAATTGTCAATTCACGAACTCTTCCTAGGTTTGTTTCTGGTAATAGGAAGAAAAAAAATTGGGTCTTTTTGTTTGTTGTTTTATTCTCCCTACCCTTAAGGAAGTGATTTAATTGTGGAAATTGTCCCTGTCAAAGTATTCACATCACACCATGGCAAGCACACCTTTCATTGTTCTGATCTGTAATGTATTACAGTGGGAAAGAGAGAGGCAGTTTTATGGGCAAAATACAGAGATTGCGCTGAGTTGGAGATCAAACCCAATGATCAGTGATTTTTGTGTTCTCTTTAAACTGAACTTAGTACCAAAAGAACAAACCCCAACCCTATAAAATGGGAAACCTTGCAAAGCTGTCACTCTGGGCAAAACTATTAATATGCAACTCACATATGGTAACAGTGTGTTCATACAAAACAGGAATGGGATTAAAATCCAATGGCTCAGCAATCAGGTACAAACCCTAGGAAAAACTGTTGCTATCATTCTCCCACCCATCAGATTTTTGGGAGCCAGTCCCTTTTTCAGTATTTTACAATTTCACCATGACCCAGGGAAGATCTTATTGTCTCTAACATGTAGCAAAGCAGTAGCGGGTTTTGCAGGCAGTTTTTACATAAACAGCGAGTTGCACATATTTTTTCAGCAGTACAGATTGTGAGATATGTATTTTAATGTCATGCATAAAACAATGAAATATGCAAGCAACTTTAAACATGAATCAGAGGTTTTAAGGTTTTTTGGAAACCGCAGATGCTGTAATGTACAAAAAGAAAGAGGTTTCTCTTTTCCCTTTGTATGTGACATCTGTTACTTTCTGCATGGAAATCACTCTAAAGCGCTACTCACCGGTTTTCAGCTCGTAGGGTGGAGATGCTGAGAGAAAGAAAACCAGTCTCACTCTGCCTTTGTTGTCTGAGCTCCAAGCAAGAAATTCCTGCCAGGGTGGATGAGACTTCTCCTAGGTCCTAGTGCCTTGTGGACCCCTGAAATGGTAACTTTGCCTCAGTGTTTTTCACCCTGATGATCAATTATCAGTTTAAAGTTTAATCTGTATTATAAACAAAAAGAACAGATTCATTCCAGTTCTGGTTACATTAATAGCAGGGGTGGGGTGGAGTTAATGGGACAAATCTTGAAGTCATTGCCCTCTGCATTTTTAGGCAAAGCTCCCATTGACTTCATATGATCTAATCATCTGGAAAGCACAAATCATCTAGCCCCAATTTGGAAAAAAAAATGCACTTAGGGTTATGTAGCAGTCTTATAGGGTTTCAGTTGCAGGGCGGGAATGGCTGCAATCCTATAATGTGCAACCAGTTTGGACTTTTGTGTCAAGAAAGTAAGGAAAAGAAAGGCAGAGTTGACAATAGGCAGAGGAGCCTGATTCTTCTCTAATGTTTTTACACTAGCTCATCCTGATTTACACCAGTGTAAGTGAAAAGAGAATTGTGCTCAATGGATCTGCATCTTTTTTTGCCCCATATCATTTTTCTGTGTTACAGAACATCCACGACTAAGCTATTTTTTAGGTGCATAGAGGATATAAACCCTCATGCTGAGTACCTAGCATAAACTGACCACTAACTAACAGGAGTAAGGACATCTCTGTAAGTAAACTTTTCCATAACTGTTCACTGTGGGGTTTCTTGCACCTTTTGCTAAACCATCTCATCTGGCACTGGCCACTCTTAGAGATGGGGTACTGGAGTACATGAACCACTGGTCTGAGCCATGTGGCAGCTCTTACAGGTAATCTAAGGGAATAGCTAAAATATGGGTAGCTGTGCGTAAAATTATAATACATATTTCCACAGCAATCTTTAGAAATCTCACCCTAGTGTTTCTGTGTCATCGATGCATATGTCCAAGTGGGATCTGAGGTTTTGCTGATAGTTGATCTGATTAACCTTAAACTAAATAAAAGTTTAGCATTTTGAATGGTGAGCTATATTTCCTGTATCCTAACCAACATTGCTGGTTTATTAATATCCGGACCTAATCCAGAATCATGAGTCCAAATTCCCTTAAATTACAGAAGGTTACAGAGTGGAGTCATTTGATCCAAATCACCCCAACAGATGTGGTTCTGGGTAAATCCCAAACTATTTTTTATTCCAATGCAGCAGAAACTTCACAACAGCCAAACAGTCAGATTTCTGTCATTTGAGGCCAAAATAACCAAGAGCCATTACAATCCACTGGCTGCTCTGAGGAAAGACTTGGTGATCTCTGTCAGGTGTCTACACCAGAAAACCAACATGATCATTGCAGTCTCAGTATGTCCCAACCCTGGAAATAAAACAATCTTCTCACCCCCTAGAGGAGGTCTCTCCAAATAAAGGTAGAGCTGCCTGCACGGTGCCGGTTCTGGAGATAATAACTGGCTTCTATTTCCAGCCAATCTGGCACATCCCACTGGTATCACAGTCACATGAAAACTAATTTTATAGACAAAACAAACTGGACACAGATAAAGTCGCTTTGGTCAATACTTTTTTCCAGTGGCATCTGCCCAGAGAGGGAAGAGGCAGTGCTTTAACAAATGACCTAAATGGTTTGCTTTGCTATAACTTCTGTAGACTACATTACTGTACCCAATGACAAAAGGTTATTCCCTAATATGAATGTGGCTGTCATTTGTCATTCCCTTTGCCTCTTAAAACTATAGCACACTGCAGGGACCAGTTTTAATTTCCCCCCGGAATGGAAACAAACAAATCATATGAATGGCATTGCAGAATCTGGTTCCTGGTCCTTTTCTACACGGAGGCACCATGACTCTGGATTAAGCCTTGGTGTGGACACCAGGCATTCCTGTGTTCTAATCCTGACTCTGCCACCGGTTTGGTGTGTGGATTTAAACAATTTCCCATGTGCTGATTTGTGCCTTGGAAGGGTTTGAGCTACGTTGCAATCAGACTCTGTTTGATTCAGCCAAACCCTTGGCAAGGTTGCAGCGAGCCTCCCCCATTATATGCTCAGCTAGACCACTTGTGAGGAGTGGTGGAGATAAGGGCACAGCTTCATTCTCACACTGTCTCCTTTCAGGAAACTAGTGCTCATGGAGACAGTAGGAAAGAGCAGGACCTGTGATCCGCAGGCGGGGTTTGGTTGGCCCCTGCACAGGATGCAAGAGGAGGTTGAAACTTCTTGAGCCTTCTCCTTGCCTGCTTCTTCTCCAGCCTGATCCAGCCCTTAATGTCTCTATGCCACAGTTTTCCCATCTATCAAATGGGGCTAATAAATGTCTTACCTACATCAAATGGCTGTTGTGAGGATTAATTAATTAATGTTTGAAAGAGTGCTCTGAAGGTAGGAATCATTATATAAGTATTAAATATTTTCATTTAAAACATGAGGCATAGAATGAGAAAAATAAAGGCTAGAAGAACAGAATAAGGTATGCTGTGATGCTTGAGTGCCTTGATAGATAATAAACCAATGATTCCAAATGGTCCATTGTCTCTAAGGCACTCAGGTATGATGGTGATGGGCCAATACAAAGTGCAAAGACAGAGAGATATAACCCAGCCAGCCAATTGACTCATAATGCCTCTCATTGTACTGATCTTGAGTTAAATGAGGCTGCATGTGGACAATTCTGAGGAAAGGGACAGGATCTAGAATAGCTTCTTTGGATCATAGCTTTCTGCACACATGAAACCACTCGGGCTGTCAATTAATCGCAGTTAACTCACGTGATTAACTCAAAAAAATTAATCATGATTAAGTAAATTAATCGCGATTAATCGCACGGTTAAACAATAGAATACCAATTGAAATGTATTAAATATTTTTGGATGTTTTCTACATTTTCAAATATATTGATTTCAATTACAACACAGAATACAAAGTGTACAGTGCTCACTTTATATTTATTTTTATATTACAAATATTTGCACTGTAAAAAACAAAAGAAATAGTATTTTTCAATTAACTTAATACAAATGCTGTAGTGCAATTTCTTTATCATGAGTGTGGAACTTACAAATGTAGAATTATGTACAAAAATAACTGCATTCAAAAATAAAACAATGTAAAACTTGAGCACCTACAAGTCCACTCAGTCCTACTTCAGCCAATCGCTCAGACAAACAAGTTTGGTTAAAATTTGTAGGAGATAATGCTGCCCATGTCTTGTTTACAATGTCACCTGAAAGTGAGAACAGGCATTCGCATGGCACTTTTGTAGCCGCGTTGCAAGGAATTTATATGCCAGATATGCTAAACATTCGTATGCCCCTTCATTCTTCGGCCACCATTCCAGATGACATGCTTCCATGCTGATGATACTCGTTAAAAAAATAAGGCATTAATTAAATTTGGGACTGAACTCCTTGGTGAAGAATTGTACGTCCCCTGGTCTGTTTTACCCACATTCTGCCATATATTTCATGTTCGAGCAGTCTCGGATGATGACCCAGCACATGTTCGTTTTAAGAGCACTGTCACAGCTGATTTGACAAAACGCAAAGACACTACCAATGTCAGATTTCTAAAAATAGCTACAGCACTTGACCCAAGGTTTAAGAATCTGAAGTGCTGTCCAAAATATGAGAGGGATAAGGTGTGGAGCATGCTTTCAGAAGTCTTAAAAGATCGACACTCAGATACGGAAACTACAGAACCCAAAGCACCGAAAAAGAAAATCAACCTTCTGCTGGTGGCATCTGTCTCAGATGATGGAAAGGAACATGCGTCGGTACGCACTTTCAGGTGACGTTGTAAACAAGACGTGGGCAGCATTATCTCCTGCAAATTGTAACCAAACCTGTTTGTCTGAGCGATTGGCTGAAGTGGGACTGAGTGGACTTGCAGGCTCTAAAATTTTACATTGTTTTGTTTTTGAATGCAGGTTTTTTTGTACATAATTCTACATTTGTAAGTTCAACTTTCATGATAAAGAGATTGCACTACAGTACTTGTATTAGGTGAATTGAAAAATACTATTTTGTTTGGTTTCTTTACAATGCAAATACTTGTAATCAAAAAATAAATATAAATTGAGCACTGTATTCTTTGTATTCTGTTGTAATTGAAATCAATATATTTGAAAATGTAGAAAACATCCAAAAATATTTAAATAAATGGTATTCTATTATTGTTTAACAGTGCGATTAATCGTTGGATGAATGGCAATTCATTTTTTAAATCACTTTATAGCCCTAGAAACCACACACACTGCACTGAAAAGATGAAGTACAATAAAATGCACACACCTGCTTGGGACTCCATTACAAGCTTTTTATGCAATATACATTTCCTTTTTAAAATGCTAAAAAATTAAGCAGAACCAGTATTCGCTCCAGCCTGATACCAGGCACTTGCCACTGACTGAGAGACACAATTTCTCTTGCTGATGATAGCAACACTCATCCTGCATCGCACCTCAAATGATTCTATGGATACCTAGGCACTTTTTGTCTATTTGTTCTTCTTTCATCCAGCCACTATTGGAGAAACAAAACATCTCCGTAGCCAGCGTCAGTGATGATGAAGAGTTCTTGGGCAAAATTCTTTTATGTTGACGTTGAAGTTATGTTGACATCAAGAGTAAACTCACAGATCTCAATGGAATTATTCTGGATTTACTCCAGTGCAATTGAGATCAGGATCTGGCCCCAGAGACATCACTGAGCAAACCAACTATGGCATATGAATGACAGCCATTTCTAGAAATACCTTGATGTATCTTTAGACCTGATTTGGATCTTGCTTATAATGGTTGTACACTGGTACAATTCCATTGGCCTGGATGGCATTACTACTGATTAATACCAGCTTATGTTAGAAAAGAAATCAAGCCCTGTGGCTCCATTAGCTAAATCACTAAAGTGATTGAGAAACTGGGAATACATCTGCTTTCTTCCTATCAATAAATTCATTTAGATAAAAAGGAAGGTTAAATTTAGCTCCTCAGATTAAATTTCCTATTCTAAATTAGGTGAATTAT